CCTTCGGCCCCTGGGAATCGAGGGAACACGGGGGAAAGAGGGAAAAATGAGTGAGAAGAGGCAAAGGAAGGACCTTCCTCCCCTATCAGAGCATCCTCCCCAAGGCCATGGGTTGCATGAGCAGCTCTCAGTTCCCTCCAGTGGCTCTGGCTGCCCCCCCAGCATCCCAACCTCCCCTGAATCCAGGTTCTGAGGGAGAATGGGGCAGAGAACGACGGAGGAGCCTCCACCCAGGCTGTGCCAAGAGGGAGAATCATCCAGGGATGGGATCCTGTCCCCAGGAAAAGGGACAAAGGTCATTTTGGGGCTATTTTTCCACCCGGGGAAAGCCTCCCAGAGGGCCCAGGCAGCTTCCCCCCCTCGCTGGGCTGGGAGGAAATTCCTGTCCCTGCTGGGGCTGCAAACCCAGCGTGGTCCCAGCACCACTAATCCTTGAGCTGTTTGCCCCGGGTTAATCCCTCCCCCTGGGGCAGCCAGACCCAGCGGGATGGGCACGGGATTGAGCCCAGGCTGGATCAAAGGCGAGCTCCAGCTGTGTCCCACTGACCCCTCAGGGCTCAGCATCCATGGCAGAGCCCCCAGACCCCCGGGCTGAGCCCCCCCAGCGCCCAGCCCTGCCATGGGCACAACTCACCACTCTGCCCTGCTCCCCCGGGGGCCCCACGAGGCCACGCTCGCCCCGGTCGCCCTGTGGACACCCAGGAGAAGGGCACAGTCAGGGGCAGCTCCTGGCACGGCCAGAGCCCCCCCCCAGTGCCCCCCACTCACCTTCAGCCCAGGGACACCCTCTGGGCCCTGCTCGCCCCGAGGGCCGGGCTCCCCCTGAAACAGAGACACAAACACCCAGGGCACCTCTCGGGCATCCCTGGGCATCACATCCTTCCCCAGGACGTGCCCCCTGCAGCCACTGGTGGCCGAGGAGGTGATGGACACAGGGCTGGAGCAGTGAGGGGCAGAGGGGGGATAAAACTGCCCAGTTAGGCTTTTGGTTTGACAGGAAACAGGGAAAAGAGAGAGAGAGGGAGAGAAAAAGAGAGAGAGAGAGCAGCCCTCAGGCTGTGCTCGGGGGGGCCACGGTGACATTCTGTACTTACAAGCTGCCCTGGGGCACCGGTGACACCGGGCTGGCCACGGGCACCCACTTCACCCTGTGGGGACAGAGGACACGGGAAAGGTGATGGGGAGGGAGCAGGACCCTGGACAGGCAGCTTGGGGGGATGCACATGGACCCCCCTGGGGTGTGCTGCTGTGGGAACATGCTGGGCAGGAGACCCCACAGGGGCAGGGACCCACCTCCACCCCGTGTCCCTCCACCCCACACCAAGAACTCTCTGCCAGGACCCACCTTCTCTCCCTTCAGCCCAGCGAGGCCGTGGACACCGGGATCTCCCTAGAGGAAAAACGACAGGAGAGATGAACCTTCACTACCAGGAGCCTCCCCCTCTGCAGGAGAACCCCCCTTTGGACACGGTGAGTTCCGTGGGGACTGAGGGAATTGTGGAGAAGGTGCTTGGAGCCAGCCCTGTCAAACACGGGCTCAGCCCGGGCAGGGGGGATGTACTCACAACGCTGCCTTTGGGGCCAGTTTTCCCTGGGGAGCCCTGGAGAAAGGAGAGGGGGATCAGCCCAGCTCAGGGCACGTTCCCTGAGCCCCAGCTCTGCCCTGAGCACTCACCTTGTCTCCTTTGACTCCTGGCAAGCCTTGGGGTCCCGGGATCCCCGGATGGCCCTGCTCGCCCTTCGGCCCCTGGGAATCGAGGGAACACGGGGGAAANGGGGCCAGGGTGACATTCTGTACTTACAAGCTGCCCTGGGGCACCGGTGACACCGGGCTGGCCACGGGCACCCACTTCACCCTGTGGGGAGACAGGGGTGGGGAGGGGACAGCGTGGGGACAAGGCTGAGGGCACAGCAGCTGTGGGGTCACAGTGGGTGCTCGGGGGGGGTCACCCACCTTGTCTCCCGGGCCACCTTTGCTTCCCGGCTGGCCTGGCAAGCCCTGGGGAAACCAAGCTGGGCTCAAACCCTGGGCACAGCACTGCCAGCAGTGTCCCTGCTGGGCGCTGGCACCACCCGGGATAGGGGTGTCACTCCACAGGGGAGGGGGTGCCAGCCCAGTTTGGGGGTCCCCCAACACTCACAGCTTGTCCCCGGTGTCCCGGCGTTCCCGGGCGTCCGGCCTGTCCCACACTGCCCTGGGAGGGCACAGAGGATGTCACGGGTGGGGCAAAGGGGGGGCACTGCCACTCTCCACCAGCCAGCAGTGGAGCCAGGGGCTGGGAGCTTATCCCACCTGCCATCCCTGTTATTCCCAGCACGAGGAACAGGGTGTGTCCGTGCCCTGTGCCAGCACAGGCAGCACCTGCCCCTGCTCACCTTCACCCCCGGGATACCCGGGGTGCCATCCTTGCCATCGATGCCCGGCAGACCCTGCGACAGGGGGGAGAGTCACTTGGTCACCTCTGTCCCACCTGAAAGGCTGGTGGGGGGACAAAAAGAGGTGGGAAGGGAAGGGAAGGGAAGGCTTCAGCCCTGCCAGGGTGCAAGGACACAGCGTGGGACACAGAGGGATCTTCTCCTTGCCAGAAGAGGCTCGTTCCCAGCCCTGGCACAGGTGCCACCAGCTGTACTCACATTCTCCCCCTTGGGGCCGATGTCTCCCTGGGGTCCCCTGATGCCACGGCCACCCTGGAGCAGGAGAGGGCAAGTGTCAGGTCAATGTGCCCCTGGGGCAGAGGGTGGGGCTGGCAGAGGGAGGAGATGCCCATCGAGGACACCCTGGGCAGAGCCCCTCTCCACGTGGGGCACAGGGACACTGGCACTGGAATTGGGGGGTCACCTACCAGCTCTCCCTTCTCACCAGGGTCCCCGGGTGGTCCCTTGAGGCCTTCCCTGCCCTGCAGAGGAGAAAGGCAAGAGCTGAGCAGGGAACTGGGGGGTCCCTGAGCCCCCGGGGTGGGGTTGGGGGGGCACTCACCGGCCGCCCAGCTGCTCCAACAGACCCCACCATGCCCTTGTACCCAGCAGGGCCCTGCAAAGAGAGCACGGGGGGGTCAATGCCTGGCACCCTGACCCCCAGCCCCACCCAGCAGGAGGCAGGTCCAGCTCCCCAAGGCAGCCCAATGTGTTGGTGACGGTCCCGGGAAGCGCCTCCAGCCTGGGAATCGCTGCCATGGAATTTGGTCCCCCCGAGCCCCCCAGCAGCACTCACCGTCTCGCCCTTGGGTCCTGCCATCCCGGGGTACCCCCTGGGGCCCTGAGGTCCCTGTGGGGAAGGGAAGCACAGTTCCAGTTTAGCTGGGAAGCCCCCCTGGAGCAGCCCAGGGGGAGGCTGCGATTCCAGCAAACCCCAGGGTTGGGAATCAGCCCGTTTGGCCAAACACGAGGGGTTCCAGCCCCTCCTAATCCTGCAGCCCCCCAGCAGGTGCTTTTCCAGCTGTCGATTCCATCACACCAACGGGCCCAAAGTGGAGTCTCTTGCCCTGCCAAAGCTCTGCTTCAAAGCAGTTCTGCCCTTCCCTGGACCCAGGGCTCAGCCCATTAATTGCTTTTCATCTTCAAAGTGCTCGGGGAGCTCCTGCAGCTTTAATCCCCCCCGGCCCTGCCGTGAGCTGGGGGCTGCACCCCCCCTTCAGGTGGGGTGAGGGGGGCACAGGAGAGCTTTGTCCTGGCCCAGGAGTTATCCCTGGTAACAGCCGAGGTCTCTGTTGGGAGAGATGGTGACACCCTGGGAGGAGGAGGGAGATGGGTGGGAGGAAGGCTTTGCTGCAGCCCCAGGGCTGTGTGGGACACACTGGTGTCACCTCCCCGGTGTCTGGGGCCGAGCACAAAGTGGGCACCCCCAGTTTTTGGGGCCCTGGGGGGGTGGAGGAGCAGAGAGGGGGGAGTGTGTTACCGGCGGGCCGGGGACTCCTTGTTCTCCAGAGGCACCGACGTCGCCCTTGGGGCCCTGGGCAGGGAGAGAACTGAGTGTTGGGGGGCAGTGGGGGGTACAAACTGCCCTGGGGACACAAGACCCCCTCCCTTGGGACCCAGCAGGGGATGGGGAAGGTGTCCCTGCCTGGGAAGCCACCTTGGGAAGACCACCCTGTCCCCCTCCCTCTCCCAGCCCTGGATTTCCCACCTTCCTCTCCCCTCTTTTCTTCCTTTTTTTCCCCCTTTTCTCCCCCTGGGTCTATCCCCTGCTCCTCCAGAGGCCCCGGGGACACCTGGATGTGCTGGGAACTCACCTGCCCCCCCTGCCTGCCGGGCTCCCCGAGGGCACCGGGGCGGCCTCTGTGTCCCTGCGGGGGAAGAAGATCGTGAGCACCCCTGGCAGAGCAGCAGGGCTGTGGCAGCGTCCTGAGAGCCCCCCTGCCCACCTCAGCCCACCCTGGGGTGCCCACTGGAGCTTCCTGAGGCAGTGGCAGGGCTGGGACTGGGGCTTTGGCACGGGGTCCCACACCCAGGAAAGGGTGGATCCTCCACTCTGCCACAACCTGCTGGAGGTGATGGTCCCTGTTCCACCCCAGCAGCTCCAGGGCTCCCTTACCTTCAGTCCCTGCAGTCCCTGGGGGCCCTTGGGACCTGGGGGGCAGCTGGTCGGGCACTGGGGGGAAGAAGAAGCACAGGATGAGTTGGGGAAGGACCTGGAGGCTGTGGAGAAGCCGTGCTGGGAAGGACGGGCTCCTGTGCCACGTGGGAGCGGTGACACAGGGGACCCCCTGCTCACACCCCAGCTGTGCTGGGGACCCTGCTCCTCCCCAGGGACAGAATTCCAGGGAGGGCTGCGTTCCAGGGCCCTGCAGAGCCCTGCTGGAGGGATGAGACCATGGCAGCTCACCAGGATATCAGCGCTGCCTTCCTCCAGTCCTTGGATGTGTCCCGGGAGGCCCTGGAGGGAAGGAGACCATCAGCATCCCTGGGTTGGCATCAGGATGATTTCCCAGGAGGGAGGGGTGTGGCAGAGCCCAGGTCCCGGCCCCAGAGCCAGGGCTGAGCCTGGGGGAAGCTTCTCCCTCGTGCAGAAGGTGTTGGTGGCCGGGGGGTACTCACGGGTTTCCCTGGAGGGCCTGGGGGGCCCCGGGGGCCATCGGGTCCAGGGTCACCCTGGGAAAGAACAGACCCAGGAAAGGAGATTCAGGGCTGGGGAGGTGGCAGGTGCTGCCAGAGCTGGGGTGGAGAGGGGTGATGGAGACCTGGAGAGCCAGGATGTCACAGCAGGAACGGGGACATCCCCGGGGTGGATGGCACCAGGGGACCCGGCTGGTGGCACAGAACTGCCACCCCTCCAGCCCCACTGTCCCACCCTCCCACATTCCAGGATCATCCCTGTTTGTCCCAGGAGCCCTGAAGTGCAGAGGGGCAGATCCTGGGGTAGGGAGGGGAGGTTTTCCCATGTCCCCTCCTGACTCCTCACCTTGGGTCCCAGCACCCCGATCTCTCCAGGAAGCCCCACTTGGCCTGGAAGCCCCTTAAGGAGAAGACAAACATTCCCTGAGTGAGAGAGGTCACACCCCCAGGCCTCCCTTTGGGCATGCTGGGATTTGAGCTCTCCCAGCACAATTCCAGGCAGGATCCCTGGCCATCCCCCCAACCCCAGTGTGGCACTCACGGGTGGTCCTGGCAGAGAAGGGCCCTGCAAGAGGGAGAAAGAGGGTTGGTGTGAATTCCCCAACCCCCCAGACCCTGCAGGATCCGTGTCCCCAGCAGGGTGATGCCACAGCACCACCCAGGGGGCAGCTGGGGGGCTGGGGACGGTCCTGCTCTGCCCCCACCCCCCGTGTGACAGCAGTGGGTGCATCCCCTGCACCCATGGGAGCAGCAGATACTCACAGGGAGCCCTGGAGGCCCTGGAAGTCCAGGCTGGCCCTGCCAAGGCAGAGGAGGAGAGTCAGGAGCAGAAACAGGTGGGTCTGCTCTGGCAGCTGCTAAAATCCCCCCTCCCTCCCCCAGCCCCGGTGCCCCCTCACTGCCAGAACCTCCATCACCAGTTCCTGGTCCCTGCTGGCTCCGAGAGGGGAAGGTGGGGGCCAAGGAAAGTGGGAGCCTGGAGAAGCTGCCCCAGAGCAGCCCCTCACTCACTTTAATTCCTGGTGCTCCGATGGGTCCTGGCTCCCCTTTTGCTCCTGTCAGGCCCTGCACGAGGAGAGACCCCAGAGGTTATTCCCAGCCATGGGTTGTTCCCATGGAAGGAGCTGAATCCCTTTGCAGGCAGATCCAGCTGGATGAATAATCCATGCTCACAGTGACAGTTATCTCTCTATTCATTTATTATTGAAGAATAACTAAACCCCCAAAGATTCATGAAGGGCCATCAGAGGCACAGAAGAGGACCCTGCAGTTCAGGTTTCCCTCTGATCAGGAGGTAAGTCCCTGGCACTGACCTGGGCATGGGGCAGGAGCCCACCCAGCCCTCCCTGGGCACCCATCACACACCCCTGAGACCCAGCCCAGGGGACCTGGGGATGGGACTGACCCATCCCAGCAGCCAGGCAGGGGGAGGTGACAGCTCTGTCCCCTTTCTGCCACCACTTCTGTGGTGACTCTGCTTGTGCCAGGGAGGGGACAGTGGTGGAGTCACCGATGCCACCTCATGGGTGCTGGGGGGGGACATGGGATTGCTCCAGGTTTGTTCTGGAGGAAACAAGAGCTCAGTGAGGGCACAGGGCAGCAGCAGCAGCAGCGGACAAGGAAAAGCCTTTCCATGCCCAAGGTGTCCGTGCTCCCCTGGCACAGCTCTGCCCTGCCTGGGGTGCAGAGGGATGTGCTTTTGGGTGCCCAGGCAGTGGGAGGGGGTGGCACCAGCCCTGCCCGGGCTCTGCTGTGATTCCAAAGCTGCTTCCATCTCCCGCAGGAAGGGATTTTGGCCCGTTCTGATGTGGGACAGACACGGTCAGAGGAGTTTGCTGTGGGCAGGGACCCCACGGGGGGGCAGGGGGTGGGTACTCACGTCGATGCCCGGCTTCCCTGGGGGTCCATCGGGGCCGGGGGCTCCGGGGTCCCCCTTGACACCCTTGAAGAGAGAAGAGGAGGGGGCAGGATGGAAGGAGCTCCTCTGGGAGGAGGGGGAGCAGCAGGGAGCTGGGGGGAGGGCGGGTACTCACCGGGGAGCCCGGGGCTCCAGCAGGGCCTTTGTCACCCTGGGGAGAGGAAGGAGGTTGTAAAAGGGACCTGTCACCCCCCAGGGTGGGGGGCTCAGCATCCTTGTCCCCCTCCTCAAGCCAGAGGGGAGCTCAATCCAGCTGGGATGCTGGATTCCACAGCCAGGTGGGGAATTGGGCTGGGGCTGGGGTTGGGAAGAGTGGGTTGTGTTGGGGTTTTGGGAGGGCTGTGCTGGGTTGGGGAGGGGGAGGTTGTGGCTGTTCTGGGTATAAATAGCACTAAAATAACACCTGGGGGCACATCCCAGAGAAAGGGCACGTTCTGCTGGCTCACAGATCTCCCCTCTGTTCAGGCCCCCACTCCACGGCCCGGGGAGGATCTGGAGCCACAGCCCCCCCAGCACAACCCTTGGCTCAGAGGGCACCCCACTGGGGTGTCCTGCTCCCCACCAGCCCCCCTGCCTCCCCCCCTCACTGGGCACCTCTGGGCTGACCCTGCAGCCGCCCCCCAGAGCATCCTCTGCTGCCCAGACAGAGGAACACCCAAACCCCCTCAAAAACCACTTCAGCCCCCAATTTCCAAGGTGCTCGGGAGGCCACGGGCAGCTGTGGCTGGAGATGGAGCCCTCGGTGCAGGAGCTGTGCTCCCTGTGCCACCTTTGCTGCCCGGGGCCGCAGGAGAAGCCGGGGATGCTCCGTGTGCCGCAGGGACTCGCACGGAGCAGGAATCCCACGGCACCGGCATCCCCTGCCCCGGCCGAGCCTCCGCCCCACACAATGTCCCTCTTTGTCCCGCGGCTCCCCTCCCTCCCTCCCTGCCTCCCTCCCTGCCTCCCTCAGGTTCCCGGTTACTCACGTCAATCCCGTCCGCTCCCGGCACTCCTGGGGGACCGGGGGGCCCTCTCGGGCCGGGCTGGCCCGGTGGCCCTCTCTAGGAGGGAAGAGGGATGGGATCCACGTCAGGAAGGAGCAGAGGCACCCCGGGACATGCTGGGGGACAGTGGGAGCCTCTGGTGTGTGCTGGGGACCCACCGGGATGGAGGGAGCCCCCCAGGCCGGCCCAGCTCTGCGGGATCCTCACTGTGCCCCCCGGCCAGGGCGTGGATGGGGAAATCCAGGGCATCTCCCCCACACTGGCACCACCAGCTCCCCCTGCCCTGCTCATTTCCTACCCCTTTTCTTCCCCCTCCTGCCCTGGTTCCATAGGACTCCTTCCCCAACAGAGCAGGATGTCCATGAGGTGATGGCAGCGTTTCTACCCCACTTCTGCCCCTTCCTTCCCTGGCACCACCAGGGGCTCCTGCCCCAATGGGGTGGGATCTCCATGGGGTGATGGCAGCATTTCTACCCCACTTCTGCCCCCTCCTTCCCTGGCACCCTCAGGGGCTCCTGCCCAGACGGATCGTGGTCTCCACGGGGTGATGACACCACTTGCCCAGGCCCCCCCTTGGCTCAGAGTGGGATTTCTGGGAGCACTGGCAGGATTCGGGTGCCGGCAGCCCCGGGGTGAGGTGGGGACCCCCGGCCCTCGGCGGGAGCTGTCCCCGTGCCGGGCTGGCTCGGTGCCCGTGTCCCGCAGCCCCGCTCCCGGCTCCGCACAAAAGCTCCATTGAGGAGCGGCGGGGGAGCTCCCGGGGCCCGGCCCCGGCCGCAGGTTTGCAGAGGACTCTGCAAAGAAACCTCTGTTATCCTAACGGGGAGTCTGGGGGGAAGAGATTCCAGTCCTGGAGACGGAACCCGCGGCGTTCCTGGAAATGGGAACCAGACGTGGCTGGGCTGCAGCTCCTGCGGCTCCTCCGCGGCCCCCCAGGGTGGGTTATTTTAAATAATAAATATAAATATATAGGGGTGAGGAGGTTTGTGCATGGAACAGGAGAGCCCTGGGTCAAACCCTGCGGTCGGGGAGGGAGCGAGTCCCGATCCCTGCGAGAGCCCCTGAAAGGCACCTTTGTCCTGCCCGAGTGATTTCCAAATGGTTCCTTGTTCCTGCAGCTCCCACATCCCCCAGCCCGCTCCCCTGGCCAGCCCCTGGCACCACGAGCCCACGGGCATCCCGGGGGGCTGTTCTAGGAGGGAGCTACCCCCCAAACTGTGCCGACAGGAGCCGCGTGGAAAGATTTTCCAAAATCTTTTCTAAAAATCTGGTTAAAAACCAGATTTTACCCCCCTCCCTGCGAGGCAAGGGGAGTTTTCCCAGGTGGGCTCCCAGGAGGAACTCTGCCTCTTCCTCTGCACCGCTCACCCCGAGGAGCGGGGGGACACCTTCCCTTCTTCCCGATCCGTTTTTTCCTGCCCCTGGGTGAGTTCGGAGTGTCCACCGGGACCCCCAGGACCCCTGCTGCTGGTGTCCCCCCCCCGGGGCAGCCCTGGGAGGGTCTGACCCCCCTCAGCCCCTTCAGTCCGGAGCCGCAGCACATCCCAGGAAAGAAGGACATTTTCCCAGGTGATGGGAAGCAGATCCGGCGGGGAGGGAAAGGGCGGAGGGGGAAAATAAAACTGAGCTTGTCCAGCCAACAAGTCCCAGATTTCCAAGCCCCCTCTTCCCGCGGGGCTTTTGGCACGGAGAGGTCCCGGGTGGGTCGGGGCGGTGGGTCCCGGCTGGGGGCTGTTCCCAACCCCCCCATTCCTGGGAAAAGCAAGGGAAAGATGCTGGGAAAAGAAGCCAAAAGTCGCGGGGGCGCTCAGCACTGCGACGGGGGAGACGGGGACCGTCCCCTCTCCATCCAGCCCCTCTCCAGCCCTTCTCCAGCCCCATCCCAGCCCGGAGCGGAGCGGGATCGAGCCCAGGACTTACGAGCTGGGCCAGGCAGAGGCAGGAGGTTTGGAGCACGAGCCAGAGCTGGAACACCGAGGGACCCCCGGCCATGGCGAGGGCGGCCGGAGCCGAGCGCGGGTGGGCTCGTGTCGCTGAGCTCGGGTTCGGCACCGCCGGACACCGGGAGGGACGGCGGGAGGAGGAGGAGGAGGAGGAGGA